GTTTTCTCCGGTGAACTGGTGATTTTTGCCGATAAGTCGCAGTTTACTGCTAAAAGTGATCCAGTTGTTGTGCATGGAATAGACAAACTAGCGTCGCAGGTTGACACATATATTGTGAGGGCGTTTTCAGCATACCTGTCATGGTATGTGATGCTTTCAAAGAATTTTCGATGATTTACTTATTGTTTCCCGAAAATACTGCGATTGACTTACACAGGCGTCTTCATTATGGTCTCAATAGGTCCATCGCTTTTCATAGTCTAATCTCGTAGTGACTATTCTGAAAGCTTTCTTGAATAATCAGCACTACTGGACAGGAGGAAATATAGTGCATTCAAGCGCTATGTTCTTCAGAATCAAAATTTGTCGTAGTCTCTCAAGATAAAGCAATAAAACGGCAATCTCTATGGATTTCAACTCACTAAAATCAACAAAATGTTTTCGATTTTTTAAATTGCGATAGTTAGTTTTCGACTTTTCTGGAGCTTAGAATTTTTCATCTTTCAAATCGAGTTTTGCGGATGAAAGTCCAATAATATTTCAGACGTATCTGTCAAGGCTTCGTGAGGTGAAAGGAGTGAATCCAACTTTCTCTCTATTTACTTTAGCATTCATTAACCATTGTGCTCCGCATTTAAACTGTTTTACGTGAACGACCACTTTTGTATGTATGTGTGGCTCTAAAATATTCCTGAAACACAAGCACAACGCAAGTGGTCAATGGATTGATTGCATAGCCGAAATTTTAAAGACATTGTGTCATCGATAGCACACTCCCATATGAAGGAAGCGATAATAATGATGTTCCTTTTTTGTAACGTTGAGAGCTGAATATTGAAATTTTTCAATAATCCTATACATGAGCATTGCTTCCATTAGTCGACCTTCACCCAAGGGGGAACAAACTGATTTCGATCGCTGAAATCAGTTTGAAATCACCTGAAATCAGTTTGAAATCATCTGAAATCACCTGAAATCAATTTGAAATCACCTGAAATCAGTTTGAAATCACCTGAAATCAGTTTGAAATCACCTGAAATCACTTGAAATCACCTGAAATCAGTTTGAAATCACCTGAAATCACTTGAAATCACCTGAAATCATATGAAATCATCTGAAATCATGAAATCATGAAATCAGTTTGTTCCCCCTTGCCTTCACCAAAGTAATTCAACATGCTTTGTAGAGGTCTAAGCACGACACATACTTTCTCGTCAACATTGTCTCTATGTGGAAAGACAGAAGCATACATCATATATCTTTTTCTATCCTCTGATAAGGGTACAGCGTATTTTTTTAAGCCCACAAATCATTGACAATGACAGAACTAGAATTGATTGAAGCACACGTTTTCCGTGTTCTTTCGCAAGGAATCGACGTATTTGCACATGGTAACCACTTGAGTGACTAATCTCATTGACGTAGAAAAGTTTTGATCAACACATGAAGAAAGGTGTACTTTATTAATTTGCAACAGTTGGTTTTTTCTAAGTTTCAGAAAAAAGGAGTGAATGTGTGAGTATGGATGTTGGTGTGTCGGTATGAGTGTAGGTCATCTCGTTACCTACACGCAATACCGCAGCCACTTCGCGCCCACGCCTGTGTTTACGCATTTCGTAATTTTTTCTAGCTGCACTACCTACTGAACCTATGTTTATAGATTGAATTCTATAATCTAATTAAGAATGTGTAAGCAGAGTATCTGGGTCAAGCTTAGGTAAGTGAATGTCAACAAATGATTCAATATATCTTTCTTTGTTTGTTTGTTACGTTGTAAGTAGCATCGATAATAATGGACTCAATCCGATGATGAATATCAGATTTGCCTCTTTCCAACATGAATCTGAGCGGCAATCTGAATGAGCTAACATTGCTACTGTAGCAATTGCATATTGTGAGACTGTTTGTCCGTATTCGAAATCAATGAAATCCACAGTATCTAAAGTGTCATGATATCCATCACGGTCGAAATTTTCATGATAATTTATGTGTTCATTGAATAATAGACAAGTAAAACCGTATTCGACAAATCTGACTCCATCAGTATTATATAAATATGCAAAGGGATCACTCCATCGACGCAGGACTGGTTGTAAATTCTGTAGAATTAAATCATTCTTGATTCGTGGATAAACGTAATTGAGAGCTAATTCAGCCATGAGTAATGATTTAGTTGTATCTCCTGCGTTGACTTGAACAATAGGATCACTTCGATTGACACGATGGCCGATCATATCAACAATAACGGCAGTGTGAATTGGTTGCTTTTTTATGAATAGCTGCTGTAGGAAATGTGTGATACCCAAACTAGCCGCAGGGTATTCTTCACCTGTCAAATGAACTAACCATATGTCATGGCACGCATTTTCTTGGGTTTTTTTCAGTATCGAAGCTGATTGAAGTAAAGCCATCAAGCCACTAACATTGTCATCGGCGCCTGGTGTTGACCGCCGTTTTCCAGTATTGGCGAATGTATCTCCCTCAAATGCAGTGTCGATATGATCGATAAATACTACTGGCTCATGACACTTGTAAGATCCGCTAGCGGGTATGTAAGCAATAAGATTTGCTTGCGTAATATTTCGCCAGTGAAAGATCTGTTTTTCCGTTCGAATATTCAATTTATTGTATCGTTCAATAAGATAATCGATCAAATCCATTAATTGATTATCGGTTTGTATAGAAGATTTACGAGTCAAATAAATTTGCGTTGTATTTTCATATTCGAGTGGTTGTACGGCACTAAATCGATACATATCCGATTTCCATTGGTTTGCAAATGATTTTGTCCATTGAAGATCATTGTACCAATCATCAGAAACCGGCTTTGTTTTGAGTATGTCATTTGATGATGGAGATGGGACAGTATACCAAGAAATATTCGACGGCCACTCGAAACTATTGTTTTGCGTAATGTTGATAAACAATGTGTATGGTTTTCCATTGACATGAAATGGTTGTGGCAGGAGAACACAGATATTATGATGTAGCTCCTGTTCAAATTCATTCATTTTTTCGGGTGGCAACCATCCCGAATAGATTGTCGTTGTTTGAATTTGATTCAGAGAATTTGTGTAATTCGTAGATGTCCACAGACAATCACCGAATACAGGTTTCATGTATAATGATGGCTGTAATAAAATGTCGGCAAATATTTCAAAATAATGATCTGGATTTGATGTTATAAGTAATTGAGGTAAATAGGGTTCGGGATACTCAGATTCAGTTAATGGAGAATCGACTGAAGATGGAAATTGGAGCGACGAAGAATTCAACCAGATCCAGTGTGTATCATTACAAAATATTCTAGCGTAAACCCATGTATAAAAGCCAAATGCACCAAGACTCGGCCACAATTCAATCATGGTAATATTCATCGATTTATGGTCATTCAAAATCGATTGCAACTGACTCTCACCAGAGAATTTGAGTGACTGAGGAAGGTAAATTCTATTGGATGTCATCGAATCACAATCCATATCGGTTATATTGAATTCTAAATTAATAGGTTTGCAGCCTGTATACAAAGGAATATGTTGATCATCGCCTGAGATGAACGGCTGTAAATACTGCACTTGATTAGTTACGTACAAAGATAACGGAACTATACAAAAGATATTATTTTGCTGAAATAAGAGGAAAAATATGATTGTGCTTCGTAGCATGGTTTTGTACTATGGCGATTATGGATTTTGTCGGAATTTGTTTTGTATTGATTCTCTTATCAACGAACGAATGCTCGATTACAACCAGTTGAAATGGATTTTTGATAAACAATTCTTTGATGACAAATATTTGCAATACTTTCGAGTGCATTATACACACGCCTATTCTCCTTATAGATATAGATAACATAACGGACAGCCCATAAGAAATGACAGTCTCAGTATTTTATTAGCATCTTAAGTGTTACCTTATCGCTCACGCTTTATTTTTTTTATCAAAAGATTCGTCGTTTGATTCTGCACAAAATGGTATGTTTCATTGCAAAAAATACTTATCTCTTTAGCTTTCGACATCACCATGATTTAAAACAAGCATTGCACAAAACTTTCAAAATCTTCGTTTTTTTTCAATTTTTGGTGAAAACATTCAGTTCATCAATTAATCCTGTTACTTTTGGTATAATGCGTTCATTACTCAAGAGATGAATTTGTTCATTTCAATCAACGTATCTAAGCCGATTTATTTTATTGCTAGGTAAAGAATATGTCACAACCAAACATAATAAGACTAAATCAGGTGCTCATTGTTTTTGAAACAAATTGAAAAAAATGAAGATTTTAAAAGTTGTGTGCAATGTTGGTTTTAAATCATGATGATGTCGAAAGATAAAGAGATAAGTATTTTTTGCAATGAAACATACCAATTTGTGCAGAATCAAACAGCGAATCTTTTAATATAAAAATAAAGCGTGAGCGATAAGGTAACACTTAAGATAAAAATCTTCTCTGTCGTATAAATTAATATATCGTCCCTATAACTAGAAAAAAAGTTAAGAAAGTGTGAAATAATATTCAGCTAGTTGCAAGAGACGATATATCCAATTATGAGCATTTTCCAGATTTGTAATAAGATAGAAAAAGAAATTTTTCTCAGAAGTATGAAAAGTTTTGGCTCGCCTTATAGATCTAATTAGACCTAGAAAATATCGAAAAGACTTCCGCTCAATGACTCTTTCTTTGAAATTTACGATCATTGAACTAAAATTTCATATTATAGATAAGTATATATATATATCTATAAATTAAATAAGAAATTTTTTTCACAAAAAGTTCTTTTGTTGTCTTAGTTGAAACTTTGTGTATTATTCAAACAGAAATTGATATCAAACAGTTGAATATTAAATGAAATTCATGGATATCAGTCTTCTTCTTTTCTACTTAAATCAAAATACATTACTAAAAATAACAGAAGTATTGCCACTTATGAATCAAATTAATCTAAGTTTAAAATATGTCAATTGACAATAATATTTATTAAATTAAAAAAAAACAAGTTTAATTAACACGACACATTTCATTTGACTGTTCATTAGATATTGGTTGTTGTTGTGGTTTATTTATAAATTCAATTGGAATTTCACGTATGAATTGTTGAGGAAAGTTTTCTTTAACAAAACGTTGCATATGAATTTTATTTTTTTCATAAAATTCAATAAAAACTTTATCTTTTTGTTGTTTAGTCATTTTTATATAAGAATCTGAATTCATTGTTTTCAAGAAAGCTTGTTCATAGAATTCCAAAGTTTTTTCAATTTCAATAGCAGTTGGTCGTCGTTTTGAATCTTCATCTAAGCATCTTGAAATAATTTCATCATAAAAAACTGGACTTTGCTTAGTTATTGTAATACATGGCAAGGATGAAGAAAAACGAAAATGATGCATTTTTTCTGTAAATAATTGATTTAATGTAACACCATATGTATATATATCTAATTTTTCATCACATTTAACATGTCCATCAGATACATCACGAAAAAATTCTGGTGGCATAAATTGTATACAACCTAATTGAGTTTGTTGACCAGTTGGATCAAGAACACGAGCAATACCCATATCACCAATTTTAGCGACATAATTATCAGTAATAAGAATATTATCTGGTCGAATATCACGATGTATCATGCCATGTTGATGAATACGTCTCATACCTGATGCAATTTGTCGAGACATGGCTAGTTTACGTCTTAATGATAATTGATTTGGTTGATTTTCAAGAAGATCTTGTAAACTTCCACGTCCCATTAATTCCATTATTATCATAAATTGAGTTTTTGATCCACGATTACGATTTGCTGGTATATCACGAGTTGCATATGCAAATGTTCGAAGAATATATGGACCTGATAATTCTCGATATGCAGCTAATTCAAGAAGAAAACTTCGATGATTTGGATCTGATGTTGATGATCTATCAGATATTTCAATTACTTTACAAGCAACTTGACGATTTTTTGGCCGCCATATTGCTTTACATACATAACCTATTATAAATATATTTGTATATATAATTCGTCAATTAAATATAATAATTAGACTTACCAAATGATCCTCTACCTAAAACTTCTCCCATTTCAATATCATCTGGATCGATATTTGGCATAACTCTATTCGAAGTTAAAATTAATGGATGATTTTCTTCATGATTTTTTGTACAAATATGTTTATCAATTGCACATGTTTCACATAAATTATAATTTGGACATGTATCACATTTAAAACGTAAACCAATGAAATTTTTTTTCTGACAAACTCCATCACATTTTATATCATCATGTCGTTCATATCGAAGTGTATCTAAATTTCTTAATCTATTTAAATTAACTTCATTGTCAATATTATTAAATTGTATTCCTAAAACTTCATTTGGTAATTTAAAATGAACCATAGCATGACCATTAAAATGTTTTCCTGTTTGACAACGTCTTTCAAAACAACGTCCACATAAATCATAAGTTGGTGATGTACATTCTAAACAATGATATCGATCAACTTGACGAATGGGTTTCATTCTACATGCAGCACATTTAGCATCATGAACATCATAATCATCATCATTAGTATCATCGGATTGAGTTTTATTGACTAATTTTGCAAGAATACTCATCAAAAATAAATCATCGAGACGATTCGAATTGTTTTCTGAAGAAAAAATTCGCAAGAAATATGAAACGATAAAATTTTTTTTTTAAAAGCATATTTTTATTTACTTTCAACTTGATGTTTTGATTCATGAGGCGAAGATTTGTTTAGAATAAATTCACAATGTTGTTTTGTACCTAACATAGATAAAAAAAAATAGTTTTTTTTTTGAAAATTGATTTAATTTTTAATTCGTTGAATTGATTTTAAATTTTAATTATTTAAAAGAGAAAAGTTTGTAAACTAAAACATTGAACCCAAATCAAAAAAAAAGAAATATGAACTGATTCACACGGGAATCTACCAGAAATCGATAAAACGTGGAGATAGTATTTCGAACTGGAAAGTCTCCAAATTTTTCCGTTGATTTTCGCCCAAATTATTTTTCTTTCCTATGACAAATGACCAAAAATCATCGAAAAAATTTGGAGACTTTCCGAAACAAAACACTGTCTCAAAGTTCTATTAATTCTTGGCATTTTCTTGTCAAGCTTGATGATTTTGCGGTATCTTTCCAGCCGATACCAATAAAATTCGCTTGTTTCTGGAGACCCGAAATTTTCAATTTCGATTTATTATCATGAAATTTTAGTATAAAACAATGCGATTTAATATTTTTACATATTTATTATTCGATCGATGAGTTTTAGAATTCGACAAGTTCACTTCTCGTTTGGATCTGAGGAACTGTTGAAACAAATCTTGTGATATGATCTGATTTGGTTGAACAGTTCTTCCACTGACTGGGATTTGGTCGACACCTAATAAGTTTGCAATATCGTCTATTCCTATTTGTTTTTTTTTTCTTGATTTATATATTTTCTAGACTCTGATTTTTTAAACAAACAAGATCAATTTGATGTTCGAATATTGAGAAATAAATTTCGATATTGATCGGAGGATATACTTTTATCATATTGTTGATAAAGCCTCAAGTCATATGTTCTTTTTTTGTGTACTAAGTTAATGATTGTTAACTTAATGAGCAGAAAAGAGCATCGAAATGGAAAAGAACGTAAATATTTAATGCATGTAACGATGAATTGATCAATGAACGTATGTAATTGTTTCTTCATTCTTGTATCAATTCGTATCTTATCTTATGCATGTCTACATTTATGTGTCACCACACATATAAATAAATTCTTATTTATTTACATTCTCATCTATTTTTAATTATCAATATTTAGATTTTTTTTATAAAAAAAATTTAAAAAAAATCTATAAATGATTATTGTTGTTTCTAAGATATTAAAAATTTCGATTGTATAAAAAAAAAAAATATTAGTACAGTCGTCCAGAAATGAAATAAGCAAGTAGGTGATATATTATAACGAGACATTATTCATACGCGTTTTATGACATCGGGAAGGAGAAAGTATTGCTAAGATGCCTGTCATGTCTGTAACGAGATATTCCTACGGATGTCTATAAGGGAAGCTATCTGAATTCTTATCCCTATACTTTAAACTTATTTTAGATCGTATTTCACAAAAAGGAGACTGATTTATATTACCATGAGCAAGAACTGTTCCATGACGTTTTACACCATCAATATAAATCTCATAAGTTACATTATCTTCAAGATCTTGTAATGGTCGTAGACGAATATATTTTTGTTCAATAATTTCGATTTTTCTTGTATCTTCCCATTTAATTGTACAATAACGTTCTTGTGTACGTTGTTCATCTAAATAAAAATAAGAAAAATTAATCAGATTAGTTCGATTTTGTTTTCTTACCAAGTTTATCAACTAGTGCGTTCTTCAAATGTTGGAACATATGAAATTATACGACCAAAAAAGATGAAAGCAGCGTTAAAACTAACTGTGGACAACAACTATACGACTACAAAATAAATGCGAAGAAAGCAAAAGAAAAATGAAGAAAATGAAAAAGGAACCATACAGATATGTGCGAACGAAAGGAAAAAAAATGTTTTTTTTTTCTAGACTGTGCATATTTCGACTCTATTATCTTATGACATCATAAGACAGGACAGGTGTTTGCGTATAAACTTAGTACAAATATGCCAATGCTACCTGATTACTCATTACGATTTATCTGTGTGACCTATCAGTCATATGAGTGAGACAAAAGATGTTTGTACTGTGGTAAAGTAAGGATTGCAGTTTGATTGGTTCGTAATTTGTATGTGAAGCGAGCCATATTTCTTTGATTCATATGTAACGATGCTACCAGAACGGGGTTTTTTTGAACTGAGCTTAGTCGGTCCCTTTTTTTGTCGACGTCGTCGAATATAATGTAAAGTTTTCTTCGTTGAAATAGTTTTGTAGAAAAATTAAAGATATAATTATTGACAGTGACAGCTATATGATTCATCGGCTTCATAGTCACTATTTGTATAGTTAAGCTATCGTATTCACAACTAAATTTAACAGGTACTACTCTTGGACATAGCATCATACTGGTTTTTTTTTT